ACTTGTCCTTCTGCTTTGTAACACCAGTTGGGTCTTAATGGTGGTAGCTGAGAATCAGTCAGCACTATTGAACAACAGATGCTTGTACCTAGGCTTCAGGAAGGGAAAAGTTCTGATCCATAAGCAAAAACCCTTCCTGGGTAGGGAGAGGACGATGGGATTTGGATGACAGATGGTGACACTGTCCATGTAGCTTTAATCGGCTGTTGTACATGTTGCCTCTAGGAAAATCAACTGCTGGGAATTTCCTTCTTAATCCTCTTGAGCCCAAGAATGCAGATAAGCTCAAAGTGAAGATAGCTGACCTAGGAAATGCCTGCTGGGTGGTAAGTTTACAATCTCTTCACATTGACTGTTTAAACCTGCTAATTCATTCACAGTATGCCAAGATGGAAAAGAATCTGTAAAACAGATTCTGTCTGAGACCTGCTTATGAAAGTAGTGACAGTTTGAAACTATGTCGGGGAGGAAAAAAAGAGGAGGGAGCAAGGGCACAGAGAAAGGAATGGTCCTCTAACAGAGGATTTCAGCCTGTGTTCTGGGTGCCTTGCTGGTTGTTAGATTACTTCTAATGGGCCCGTGAATAGTGTCACATATAATGTGAGAAATCTGCATATGTGAAACTTCTGAAGGAGTCTGTTGCTCTCCTGGAGAATGAGAAAGTGGCAAACGATTGCTCTGATGTGCTAGTTCTGTAGTTTATGAGCTTGTCAGACCATTTCAGTGGATTCATGAGCACATGAAAGAGACTCATAAATAGTTTCATTCTTTGATGGTTGTGCTGTGCTGCTTTTAAATGTTTGACATTTCAAATAAAAGAAATGTCTATTTTACTTGGCTTTTTAAGTGGCAGAATACTTCAGATCTTATGGGAGAGAGTCTCAAACTCCAAACTGCACATCAGGCTTGCAGCATCTGGCAAGGCGGTCTCTTACATTGGTGTTGCTTCTCTGCTTTAAGGTAGCTGAATCGTGGCCTGTCTGTCATGATTGGATAGGAGAGGGTGCAGCTTCTGAAACAGTCTTCCCTTATTCTGTTTTTGTGGCTTGCTTTCCTCTGAACTGCTGGACTTAGAGGATTGTGTCTCATGTGGCACTTTTAAACAGTACTTGTAGGAATATAAGGAAATAATTAATGAGGATGGTAAAATTCAGATGAAGTGTAATGGGAATGAGGTTTGATCTGCTCTGGCCTTCTAGGTTGTTGATTCGCCTCTCTTACTGAACAGTTAGAGACTATTTAAAAGCCTTTCTTCTATTTAGCACAAGCACTTCACTGAAGACATCCAGACCAGACAGTACCGATCCCTGGAGGTGTTGATAGGATCGGGGTATAACACCCCTGCAGACATCTGGAGCACGGCATGTATGGTGAGTGGTGTCATCCAGGGGATTTTAAACTGTTTCTGCAGAACATTCTGGGACACTCGAGCATGCTGGGCACTCTGGACTGCTGAGTCACTAGCCAAGCCTGGCAAAAAAAACTCACAGGTGTTCAGACAGCTTCTAGATTTGCTGAATACTTTTTTTGCCATAGGTGGCTTTCCTTTTGAAAGTTAGTTTTATTGTTCAGCACCAGCAGATTCCAAATACGATTGTACTTTGTCATCATGCTTTGTGGAAAACCAAGACAACTCTGCAATTCTGAAGACAAAATCTTTTTATATAAAGAGCCTTTCTGCTGCATCCAGCACTGTTTCACAGATGTCTTCAGTATAAATTCATATTTTAATCATATGCATCCTCTGCATGTCTGAAATCATTTTATAATCTGAGTAATGCTGAGACAAGGCTGAAGCTGTTCCTGTAATAGCTGGCAAATGTAGAATATGGTCATTAAAAGAAAAAATCAGTCTATTCAGTTATTGCACATGCCTCTTCGGTGTCTCCATTCTGTGTTTTCTACAAATCAAAGCTTGGCGTTTATTTTTTAAAATTGGGAAAATAGTGAGTGAAGTCATTTTTGCTGTCTTGCAAAACAAGCTATGATTTTTTTTTTTTTTTTTTAAATGAATGGGGTAAAACAGAACGCGATAGGGTCATGTGGCCTCTGCAGAATGTGTGGCCAAAGTTACGCAATGGTTACTCCGGGTGCCTAATTCAATAGTTAGACGACAGCAGTCTGTAAAGAAAACTTAAGAATACAAAAGATCAGAGGTACTGTTTTTAGTAAAAGTGAATACATAAAGGGAAAATGTGTCATGGAATTTAGGGGTGGTGGGTTGAAATTAATGCAAGTGTTTTTCTCATTTAAGACATGTTTTTGTATCTACAGACAAATGTTCAGAGATTAACTGTTTGAAAAATGTCTCTAATATCTGAAATTTGGAGGGAGGGGAGAATCTTTGTAAAAAAAAAAAAAGTAGAGTTTGGATGTGACATAGTTTCACAAAATGCCATTGAGGTGCGAGAGGCTAAATGTGTGAAATGCCTTCATTTTGTACAATTTCACACAAGTGTACTGCATTATGTTACAATCCAGAATTCATCATAGATATGCCCATGGTGTTTAATATTGCAAAGTAATTGCACATCATAAGATGGTAGTGGTGTACGAGAGTTCTACAGGTTGTTCTTCCCACTGCTTTGCTTTTGGCCCACAGAGATATGCAGAATCAACCTGCAGTACATCTAACAATGTGTGAAGTGCATAAAAGTGATTTAATGTGCTTGTTTCTGTTTGTTTAGGCCTTTGAATTAGCAACAGGAGACTATCTGTTTGAGCCTCATTCTGGGGAAGATTACTCACGGGATGAAGGTGTGTTTGTCTAAGTCTTTTCTCTTTAAAATGGAATGTGAAATACAATGGATGCTTCATTATGATTTAGCAATGCAAAGGTTCCTTCCAAAAAAATTGTTTACCCAAATCAGTGGAGTTAGGGGACAGCTTTGCTCAAGCCTCTGCAGTAAAATACTGTGTAGTAAAGTCCAGGTTCTTGTTCTGGTGTTTCCCATTCTTCCTACCACTGGATTCTCTGTCTTGCTTCTCAAACTGTTCATGCCTCGAATGGCCCCCCCGCCTTGCCTGTTTACTTTGTCCTTTCTTAGTGTAATCTGATATCAGGTGGATCTCAAAGTAATTTTTAAGGGGGACAATGTCTTTGTTTTTATCCCAGAGAAGGAAACTGGGGCATAGAGATGTCTTGAGTGGATGTGTCTTATTGTCTTTTCTTTTGAAAATATGCAGATCACATTGCATTGATCATAGAACTTCTGGGGAAAATACCTCGCAAGCTCATCTTGGCAGGAAAATACTCCAAGGAGTTTTTCACCAAAAAAGGTAAAAGGAAACAAAGCAAGTGTCACTTATCCCTTCATTCCCTTCCCCAAATACACAGGAGTGCCTTGCTGGAAATGCCAATTAACAATAGATGCTAGCAAAGATGCCTCTTTCAGCCTTTGCTTTGTTTTATGAAAGGCTTTCTCAGTAAAACTGCAGCTAAATATAAGGCATTCTTGTCTAGCTGCTAAAAGTATCCTGTGTCCTAGTACTTGACATCTTGGTGTAGATCAAATGCAGCAGGTAGGAAAACAGTGCTGTAGATACTTCTTCAGATGTGATTTGGCTTTATTTAGCTGATCTTTATCAACTAGAGTTGTTGACTCACCTTTGAAGTCTTCTCCAGACAACTGTGTTCCACTTCTAGCATGCCAGTCACCTTCACCTAAATAGTGCCTTGCATCCTGAGCCATGTTGTTCAGGACACATTATACCATTATCATAAAGCCTTAAGTACCCCAGAAATGTATTGAGTCTCAAGAAGAAGTTTTTGACCTAGTTTAATACTTTTTTTTAATAAAACAAATCCTTTTCTGTTAGTAGTGTATTGCTTCCTCAAACAGTGCTGCATTTGTTGTATGTATTCCAAAGTCAATGGCACAGTGTTTATCTGTCACGTCAACTGGTATAATTGGTGATTTAATGAAGTTAAATAATATTTGCTGATGTTGGATCAGAAATAGCAGGAGGGAAAAAAGAGGCCTTCAAGGAAGTACATTTGTAGAACAGTCTTCAAAAGCAGATAGAAAAGGGGGTTTAGTATAACTTTCTTCTTCCTTCAGCACGCCCTACCATTTTATAGTCCCCATGCCCAACTATTCAGACCAGTTTCTGAATTCAGTCTGTCTTGTTTAGCTGTTCTGCTCTGCTCCCATGACTTGCACTTAACCTGTCTGTCTTGGATTTCAGGTGATTTGAAGCACATCACCAAACTGAAGCCCTGGGGCCTTTTTGAAGTCTTGGTGGAAAAATACGAGTGGGCCCAAGATGAGGCAGCTGCATTCACAGACTTCTTATTACCTATGCTGGAGCTGATCCCAGAGAAACGAGCTACAGCAGCAGAGTGTCTCAGGCACCCCTGGCTTAACTCATAGAGGCTTCAACCCAATGCCACAGCACTACACTCTGGTTTACAGCATAGCGTACATGCACCCAGCTGCCCCTTCCCAGATCCAATTTTTTTTTTCCTTGTTCATTTTCAGTGTGAAGTTCTTCCTTCAAGGCTTCCAAGATTTTAGATAAATCTAACCTGTTCTGCTGAGTTTGCTTGTGTGACTCAATGGGGACCCTCCTCAGCCAGTGGGCATCATGTGTGTTTTTGCCTTGATTGGGCTTCGCCAAAGACTACTTGAATAGAATATGAAGGGGTTTTTTTGAGTCTCCTCACTGTAAAGTCAGCGCGTGCTACAGATGTGAGCTCAGCTGTGCTCAGATATGCTCCCTTAGCTAAATTTCAACTCTCCTTTCTTCATGAGGGGCACGAAGATCTGAACACCTCCTTATCTCACTGAGACTCAGGAGTCGATTTCCCGCTTTTCATCCAGTAGTTATCAATGGGGTGAGAAGTAAGAGATGGCACCAAGGTGGTGTTAGTTCCTTGCAGAGCAAAAACCTTCAAATCCTCCATCCTTTTCTAGGAGTCTACTGTCGTCTTTGCTTTCCAGTCACATAACTTTTCTTTAGTTCTAGCTGCTTAAATCTTTTGAAAACCCTATTTAAACCTAGATGTTAGTATCCTTTATTTCTTCCTCCAAAATGTCCTGTCCCTTTACTTTTTCCTTTCCTGTGCCCAGATAGTCAAAATAGTTTCTGATCTCGGTGTCATTTTCTATGTTAATGCCTGTGACTAAAAAGTAACAAGCAAAAGCTGGAACTGACTCAACGCACAATCTTCAGCATACAGATGGGCGCACCTTTTGGCTGCAGAGAGGTAGTCTTGTTGCAGGCAATTCTTCTAATGTTGTAGTGAGCTGTAAGTTTTTTGGTTTTTATCCCTTACTGGCACTTTTTTGCCTTGCTTGAGGCGGTTGCTGTATCTGTGAGAGATTGGCTTTCACTGATGCAGTCTACTCTGGCTCTTAATTTTTGACCATTCACTTTTTCCCAAGAAAAGGGTGGCAGCATCTGTATTACAGCCACGCTATAGCCTGTGATTTTTCAAAATCAACACTTGAAGGCCCAGTGTAAAGATTTCTTTTCCTTTAACTTGCTTCAGGTGCTGGCCTTCAGAAATAACTTCCCAGGATGGGACTGCCTTTTTATTTTGTGGGCCATTAGCACAAGGAGAGCTAGCAGAAGTGGAAGAGAACTGACTTTTCCATGTAGATACTGGATTAGAAGCTGTTTCTAGAGTTACCCCAGGTAAAAATGTTCTGTGGGGTTTCTATATAAACTTCTCAGAGGGGGTTGGATGTAAGGAATAAATGGGTTAATTTTAATTAAAACTTAAATCACTGTGGCATTTGATAGTTTTATGATGGCTCTTTCTAGACTTGCTCATCCTATCACAGATTCAGTGCATCCTACTCAAAAGCAAGATTTGGCAGCGTTGAGATTTCAGAGGCGCTTCCTTACCCTGGACCAAACAGGCCTTTGGATTCGTGGTAGCTCTCAGAGGATAGAAGTTGCTGCAGGAGCGTGCCGGAGGCCACGCAAGATGCTATCCAAGACGATTGCGTTGCCAAAGCTGCCAAGACCACTGTTTATGTGTCACTTCTGTATGTGTGTTTGGAAATCCTGGTTCGTAAGGATGGTTCATTCATAAACCTTGGTGTCATTTAATCTACTTGAAAAGAGTTTCTCCAGTTCAACACCTGATTGGGCTTATTAATGCAAATCATGCTGCATGTTCTTTTAGGGGTAGATCAGGTTCTCTATGCATATAATCTAAAATTAAAGGAAGGTAACATACCAAAAGAGTTTTAAACTGCTGATTTGACTTCCCCCCACCTCCCCACCCCCCTCCTTTCATCTGGAGTTTTTCCAGTTGTGGGTCACTTCCATATCCATTACAGAAGGATTGCAGACAGGACTGGGTTCCAGAATACCTCCTGTCTACATACTGTGAACATATATTGACAGGGCAAGTAATTTCTGTTGTCTCTAAAGCTCACCCAGTCCTGTGTACTTGAGACCAGCTGGTTAAAGAACTTTTCCTAGAAGAGGTCTGCACGCTTCGACTCTGAGAGTTCCTTCCCATTCTTGCCTTCCCTTTGCCACCCCTGACGGGAGGAGGAGGTTTTTTACCATGATAGCCAAGGCTAGAGCCAGCTTGTGAGTTGAAGACCCGCAGAAGCAGCTGTCAGGATTCGGTCTTGTACCGTGTGCTCGTTTACTTGGGGTTTGTTAAATTTCCAAATTGCCGTAAAGTGCTCACACTAAAGGATTTGTACTTGCTGTGTCAGTCTAAAACCTGAAGGAAAATACATTTTTATTCTTTCTACTTCGGTGCTTTGTCTTTTTTTCTTTGTGAAAGCCGTACAATAAACAGAGTATTTAATAACTGAGCGCTATTCCTCATATGTTCCTGCTGTAAGTCTGTTCTTTCCGAGCTAGTGGCCCGTTGATTGAATTTTCTTTGCTAATGAGCAAATGCGTTTTAATTTCCAAAATGAGACACAGGGAGATGGTGTAGCAAGTAGAAATGAAAATTATAACAATGCACTAATTTTGGGTTCTGACCGGGTGAGAGCTGGACGGGATGATGTGCTGCTTTGTCTTCGGCAGAAATGGGCTGTGCCGAAGGCTGCCGGAGGTGGGTGATGAGAAATGATGGTTAAATCGGATTAATTGGGTGACGCAGCGAGTCGATGCTGACTGGCACCTGCAGCCTGCAGGTACGGTTACAGGCCTGCTGCAGCCCAGCAGGTTTATTTCCACCCACCCACCCAGAAAAGTGCACTTTTTAAGAGAGCTGTGTTTGGTTATTGTTGCCCAGGGCGGGAAGATGATTCACGGCTTTGCTAGGAATTGGCTGTGTTGTATTTTCAACTACAAGGGCAACCTCGGACATGGCCCCAAGGAGCTGAGCACAAAACCCAAAACACCAATGTATTTTTATTCAGAAGGAATTTTCTTGAAAGAATGTGTACAAACCCCAAAAAAGAAGCAAAGTACCATCCTTCTCCCCAGGTTTGTTGATGGCCCCCCCAAAAAATGCCCCTGTGTCCAGTTTGGGCTCTTCCCATCGAATAAACTCCACAAGAGCTGTGAGCCGAGGGCAGCCCCGTAGGTGAAAAGAACAGTTGTAGAAAATCCACAGCTGTGGGTAAGTTTAAAGCTCCTGGAAAGGTCACTTTAAAGATAAAGGGCTGAGGGCCGAAGAGCTCTAGGTGTCCCTGGGAAGAGAAGGTAAAGGGTCAGCTATTGCTAAATGGAGCATGACTTCATATTCTAAGCTTTTTATTTGGTCACTTGGCAAGGATGTATGTTTTCCTGGTTTCAGGAGGCAAAGCAAAGGCTCTTTCCCCTTCAACCACAAACAAAACCAATGTGACTACAGCACCGAAATCTATACAGTCATCAATCTTTTCAGTAATCAAAATAACGGCAGCAACATGACGTGCTGGGAAAGAAACACTAAAAATCACTGTGGGCATGACTTACTTGCTGATCGGCTCCCTCAGTCGTTGCCCTCTTCTGCAAAACAAGATAATTACAGCGTTAACGGGGTATGGTGTAACACTGAAGGTGCAGGTGTATTTTCCAGGTTTGTTTTCAAAAAGGGATAATTTAAGACAGGATGGGGAGAAAGCCAGACGGTGTGAAATGTAGCCCAGCTCAATTTGGGCTCCTGCCTTGTGCTGCTTCGATTTTCTGCCTTTTCAGGCTCTCCCTGAGTCCCTGCAGAGCAGCACGACCAGGGCAGCTCTCCTGCTTCTCCCACCGGAGGAAGCCGCCATCCTCCCAAAGAACAGCGACGGCCGCAGAGTGAAAACGCTCTGCAGCAGGATGGGGGCTCGGAGCTCAGCCCCAGCTGCCTTTACCTTTACTCTCCACTTTAAAATCAGACGGGAGGAGGTTGTCCTGCCGGTTCCCCAACACAAAGGCCAGGAAGGACAGTATGAGAGCGTCGAGGATGCCGATGATGCAGAGGATGTACGCCCAGCGCACGGTGCAGGCGCCCAGCGTGTACTTGTCCGTTTTGTCCCCGCACAGACGCTTCACCTCGCTCGAGTCCCAGCCGTCGGGATAGATCAAGCAGCCGATCATCAGCCCGGTAGCTGCGGGGGGAGGGAGACGTTAAAGCGGCCCCGGGCGGGCT